AACGCAAAATAATGAGCATTTCTATAGTACAAATATTCTATGTTATATGCAGTTGAGGGGTTGGCATCTCTGATTATGCCCAATTATTATAATAAATTCTACTCAAATATGACTGACATTTATCATGTGAATCACTTATGAAAGAACAAATTCATTTTAATTAAAAGAACCATTTAGTCAAATTATACGCAACAACCGCTTCAGAGCGTGCTTACAGCCAATTCATTACAGTCACCATCAAGAATACTTTTACTCCAAATTAATTGAAATCAATAGTAGATAAACCCAAATCAAAAGTTACGAAGGAATAAAAATAAAATAATAATAATATATAAAATAAAAATGGAGTGTAAAAATAAATAAATAAATAAAAAGAAAAAGAAAAAAGATGGGAAAGGGCAAAAGAGATAAAGGAAAAGAAGGGAAAAATGAAGAGAAAAAAGACTAAAAAAGAACCATCTTGAACATAAGAATAACACGGGTCTAACCCTTCAACCATGCTAATAGCTTTTCTTCATTCCATCCTAAGGCATACCGTCCGCCAATCTATATCCACTACCTTTCCCAAGTAAGTTTCGATCTACTTCTACCTTTCTTTGTGTTGAGCTATCGGAAACAAACTTCTATTCTAACGGGAACATCCAGGAGCCTTCTCATTACGCGCCAAACCACCTCAATCTATATTTTTCTAATCTATTTAGCCATCGGTAGTAATCCTACCTTACGTTGAAAATCTTCATTTCTTATCTTATCCATTCTCGTATAACCACACATTTATCTTAACATTCTCATCTCTGCTACTCCTATTTTATGTTCATGTTGCCTATGTGCTGACAAACATTCAGCTCCATATAACATTGCAGGCCTTACTGCTGTTTTATAGAATTTTTCTTTTAACTTAAGGAAAATTTTGCGGTCACATAAAAACCCAAAAACACTACGTCATTTCATCCACCTTGCTCTGGTTCTATAATTTACATCTTCATCAATCTCTCTGCCTTTTTGAAAAAATGAATCCCAGGTATCTAAAACTATCTTTCTTGGGTACCTCTTGACCAAGTAGATGAATGAAATCTTGATCTACATCTCTTATCACGAAATCTTGATCTACATCTCTTATCAGAGAAAACTCTGATTCTATACTCAGTTTTGCTCTGGCTTAACACGAATCCTTTAGACTCCAACGTGCTTCTTCCCAATTCAAGTTTTCTATTAACACCATCTTTGGTCTCATTAATAAGCACAATATCATCTATAAAAAACATACACCATGACACTTTCTCTTGAATATCTTTTCTTAGTTCATCGATAATTAAGGTAAAGAGATAAAAACTTAGAGCCAAACCTTGATGTACACCTACTGTGATAAACAAAAGAAATACGATAAACAGAAAAATCAATTATCAACTTTCTAATACTTCAATAGTAGCTGGGGTAACAACCATTCTCAATTAAGAAAGAGGACAACGCAAAATCAAGACAAAGACTACTCCTAACCAAGTCCTAAGCCGTATATCCTCGGACGGCAAAAACGCGTATAAAAATTCACATAAAAGTAAAACATGTAAAAGATACGAAGGAATGGAAAGCTAAATCTGGAACATACTATCATGGATATGAGCACGGATAACAGCTTTGCACAAGTATTCAACTGCATCTCACCATAAATTGCAATATAGAAAAGGAGAAAGATTACCTAAAGGAGAGACGGAGCACTCAAAAATTTGACCTATTATTAAATGAATTGATTTTCCAATGAAACTTCATTGTTGGTTATTGATTAAAAAATAAAAGTAGGAATCTCAAGGCGTACCTTCTCATAGCCAAAAGGCACAAACTCTACCTTTACATAGAATTACCCAAAACCAAGGTAAGAGGTAGCACATCGCTACTGGCTGACAGAAAAGAGGCATGGAATCAGAATTCAAACACAAAACAAATAGGATAGGAATCAAGCTGTTTTCATTTAAGTATTAAACAACCTAGAGAAATAGTTTTCTCAGCTTTTCAGACAGAGGGGTGTAAGTAACTCTACAGTTTCCAAGCAAAGCGAAGAGAACATGAAAACCCACACAATTATCGGGGTAAAAAGGGCCATAGCAAACCAACACTTCCCATAAACTTAAATCCTTGATCATAAAACCCTATCGTCTAAGAATCGAAGTTGAAAATATCATTCTACAAGAGAGGGTGATAGAATGGAACCTTATGCCCGAAAAATACTAGACCCAAAAAATACACAATCATGTTTTATAAGACATAAACAAGGGTTGTCTATGCTATGATGTTCAGCCAAGAAAAACAGAACAAGGCATAATGAATACCTTGAATTACTAGTATGCAGACAAGTGTGCTGCTCCTCATGACTGCTTCAAAACTATCTTTCATCATAGAAAAAGAAAAAAAAATGAAACAATAAAGGATATGAAGCAATTACACCAACTGTTACTCACCACCCAATGATATATTTCAGCTAAAGAATCAAGACTAAATGCTAATTGATGATATACATTCCACTATGTTAGAACCCATTCAATAATGGGAGTGGATCCTCTCATGTTTTGATTAACATGATCATATCATGTGAAATGATCCTATAGGTGAATCAACGGTGATAATTTTGTTATTCAAATATTTTTCTCTCTCATCTCTCATCACCACTAATTTTCCCATGAATGGTTAGGATCCTCTCACATGTCATGATCATGTTAACTAACACAAGAGGATTCATTCCCTTCCATAATAGAGGATCTTGAAGAGGACTTAAAAAAAAAACAGAACTGATTAATATGACTGATTCAAGGTGAATTCAGCTTTCACAGTACAATCCTAATCAGGGATAGAAACTTCCAATGGAACAACTAATTACAAGACAAATACCAGAAATAGACGATAAGTCTCAGAGCAATTACAGAGGCTATGAATTCTCTCCAAGCCTAGCCCAAGTCCCAACCTGCTTCTCACCCATCAGTCATTCTCTATTAAACCTCATAATTCCTCTCTAACCATGTGATCTACCATGTTGCTAACAGAGTTCCCCTGCCCCACCTGAAGATTATTCCCCCTCTCTCTTTGCTGACTTGTCATGAGTTATTAATCATCTCTATCGTTTTCTAGCATGCACGGAGCTGTGTCATATCATACTAAGTCAAAATCCCTTATTTTCTCTGCATAATACACGTCATCTAATAAGAAAAAGACTCAGATTAGGATGATGATCCATTGCAGTCAAGTTTATATTTCTACTGAAAATATAGGCTCACAATCCAACCACTGGTAAGCAACTAGTATGAAATGTGTCCGAAAGCAGTACATATCATATAGATGTTAAATCGTCACTACAATTCCATAAAAGATCATTCAAATACGGGATGCCTTCTCTAGGGCTGACCACCCTGAGCTACCTGTGCTTAATCACATAAAAATCCCCCAATGAAATATTAACCAAGGTAAAGCGTAATCCAAATAAACAGTATAGCACTATCTCCCTGCAAGTCACTCTGACCATTTGACACATGGAAATATAATAGTTATCACGAGAATGTTCATCGTCCAATTGTGGGTCATAATTGCAACATCACAAGATATATACAACTTCTGAGGACATGCATAATAATCAGTCACTAGAGAATACATATAATTCTTTAAGCTGCTTAAACCACAAATATAGTTAAGCATACAGGTCACTCCACGATCGCTAAACTTGGAAAAAAAAAGTTGAAAGTTGCAGCTCTTAACTACTAAAAGCAAAGAGGCTTTCGTTCAGCTCAAGAAATGCATGATGTTTTAAAGTTAAAACCAAACAAGCAGTAAAACAAAGAAAATGCAATTTGTGTTCAAAAGGGGTCATTTGCGAAAACATTTTAATACTCAATTCACTCCCTCCTGAGCATGGATGCCACATTCCCAGCTCAGTAGATTCTAAATCATAAAGTTGATGGGTAAGATCATGGAATTAAAAATCAACAAAGGTATGGACAGCATGATCACATTACCTGAAAACAGAAAACATAAATATAACAATGGATTTTTGCAGAATGAGAAATATTAATTATTATTTCAGAAGTCACTAAATCATCATTTTTCTATATATTTAGTAATTATAGAGAAGTCTAATAACAAAATCAGGGGTCTAAGTAATTAAACATATCCCATGTTCCAGTCAGTTCTAAAATATTACAATTGACAGGGTCCTATAAATAGGTGTTTTCAAGTATTTTTCATTAAATTAGTGAAATTACCACTTACGAGTTAAACTTAACTATTCATATAAAATGGTTGAAGGGAACTTCCTTCATTTCTAGGATTAGATTGAATTTCTGAAGTCTTTTCAAATTTCTATTCAAGGAGGATGAGTCTACCCATTTCCAAACCCATGCTATGTATTGTCCTTTTTAATTGATACGGCATTTCAGTGTAAAATTAAACCCCGATCTACATCACACATGCTTTCATGTAATCAGTCACAAGAATTTAGAATATGAGCCAGTGGTAACTCCAATTTGCAAGAAAATTATTTTAGCATAAATAAAACATTCGAAATGGATTACTCTCAGGGTGCTGTATAAATACTCATCTACATTCCATCATTAGTATATCTAAGACACTAATTAGAATAAAGAAGAAAAGACCAACTTATTTTTTACTAATCTCCTTAGTCCTTCACATTCCGTTTACTTACCAAACAATGGAACCAAAACTTTCCTCCATTCCATCAGAAAATATCCAATAAAATGCATGGCATCCCATTCCATTTCATCCCACCATATTAGATATCCAAGCAAAGCCTAATCTAACCAACATCATGGTAACCAAATCATCAACAAATAGTTACAATGACTTGCAGGTGTACAAAATCAGGGAAGCTCCGAAGCTCTAGTATAAGATTCAGCAAACGCAACGCCACAACATGTGAATGGATGAATTAGTTAAAAAATAAATAAAATTGGAAGCAACAAGAATCATGTATACAAGACAGAGATACACGCACACGGTGGATAGGAGCAAATGAATTGCATAAAGACGAGTTGAACATAAACAAGGCAAATTAAAACAACCTGAGATGTTCAAAGGAAGAATATATAACCAAGATAGGTGGCGCAAGAAATAAACAAAGTTCTACGGATAGATCATCATATTATAAAATATTAAAATATATTCCCTCAACAAGGACACCCTAACATACTATAATCTCCAAGGATCAGGTATCGGACTCCTCGGCGGCAGGGACGTCCTCTGCGGCGGGGGAAGTGGAAGGAGGAACCTCAGGGATAGGAGTCTGATCGACACCGTTATCCACGGCAGACGAACCTGTGGTAGCTCTGGCCTTAACGGTATCAAGCATCCGCTTGCTGATCTCCTTGGAATATACCTGGAGGATCTCGATGCCGTCATTGTCGGAAGCGAAGGAGAGGCCGGCGGCGGAGAAAGCCTCATCCTCGATCTGGCGTGCAGCGGCGGAGGCTTCGTCGGGGGCCATTATCCCGTAGCGCTTGGAGAGGACGGAAGGAGTAGATAGGGTTTCGATTAAGCGATGGATGACGGCGTCGCGGGTGCGCTGAGTGGGAGGCCATATGCTGAAGGAGAAGCCGCCGGGACCGAGTTTGGTGGTGGCAGGTTGGTCTTGGTTGTTCTGTAGCTGTGGAGCGGAGTCTTGCTCCGATGGGTTTGCGGGTGCGCTTTCCGGGTCGGACATTTTGAGAAGCCAAAGGTATTGAGATAGATAGGAATTGTTTCGTAAACACTGCTGTACAAGCCTGTGCTGTCAGAAATCAGAATTAGTAATGTGTATATCGGAATTTTTTCTGGGCCAGGAAACGGAAAGGACTTATTGAAAATTATTTATAATTTTAAATGATATAAAATTATGTCATTTTAATAGAGATAGATAAAAAATATATTTTTTATTTAAAATTTAAATTAAAAAAAATCATTCACTTTTTCTTCTGTGATTTTTATTTTTTGTGTCAATTTTTTTTTAAAATGACATAACTTATTTTCTTTAGAAGGATAAACATCAAAACCATTACTTAATTAGTTGGTTAATTAATTTTGATTAGAATTTTTTTTATTTGATCAATATGTACTTTCAAAAATTAATCCTCGGAGTTCAAATTCAAATCGTGTTATTTTTCATAATTGTACTTAATTACAAAGTAAATAAAAAATACTTAAAATAAATTTTTTTTTAAAAAAAATTGTATACGGAATATTATATTTATAAATTATTTTATTTTACAGCATAAAAACTAAAGAAAAAATGTTTATCTTTTTTAAAGATATAATTTTATGTTATTTTAAATCTTAACCGTTGATTTTCATCAATTAATAATTAAGATTTAAGATTTTTATTGTGAATTATTAATTAATTAATAAGTTTGATACAATAAATTCTAAGTGTTAACTGATGCAAATCCATAGTTAAAATTTAAAATGACATAAAATTATATCTTTTAAAAATAAAAAATTTTCAAAAACTAAATTAGTATTCAAAGCTTCTAAAATACTAATTTGATGTTATAAATTAGTAAATTGAGTTGGGACTTGGAAGCGTCAATCTAGTAAATTGACCAGAGTGGTGACGGGTCCCGTTGTAAATAACAAATTTTGACATAATATATATATTTGTATCCTCTTATTTTTAAGCTGCAAGCTACTTATAAAATAAAGTTAAAAAAAAAAAAGCTTAAAAAAAGAAGTTGTGTTGTCTGAAAGACAAAGATGTCCAACCGGTGACTGGTATACTTTATGTAGGATCTAGGTGCCCTCTCTTAAGTATCTATGAATGAGATACCTTTGAGGGTAGGTTGATCACTGTGCACAATAATAATCGACATGGTCAAGGCGTGGGATGTGTGCACAGTGACAAGCTAAGAGAGAGGTTTAGAGAGTGTCTACCTTATTGGTCTAACCTCGTATTTATAGATGGGTTACCTGAAGGAGTGTACTTCTGGGCCTCTTAGGAATATTGGGGGCCCAAGTCCAACTGCTTAGCTGTCTGGATATGATCGTCATAAATAGGAGATTCCCTTCCTTTTGTGTTGTCCTTTATTGGTCCTTCTAGAATATGGGCCTTTGTCAGGTCTATAACAGAAGTTAAAAGCTGTTTGAAAATTACATAAAAATTTTAGCTTAAAGATTACTTAAAAGCACATATTTCAAGAAAATTATCTCTCTTTCTATTTTTATCACTCTTCATTTTAAAAAAAGTACACAATTCAAGAAAAATAGATAAGAGCTTAAAAAAAGCTCCTCCTATGAGCTTTTAGTTTTCAGCTTTTTTATTCATTATACAAAAAAGAGTTTTTCAATATAAGAGTTTTTTCCAAAACCTGTTTGGCCTAACTTAAGCTTATAAGCTTCTAGCTTAAAAAAAAAATCCAAACAGATGGAGACCGGTCCCGTTGTAAGTAACAAATTTTGACATAATATATATATATATATATATATATATATATATATATATATTTATTTATTTATTTATTTATTTATTTATTTTGAAACCAATTTTGACATAAATTCTGTCTTTTTCTTTCCCTCCAATTTTATTTAGTATAATTCATTCTGATAAGATTGTTCTAGAAGAAAAAATTGCCTCGTTCGTTTGTCCTAATGAGAAAGAAGCCATATTGAATCTATTATGATTAACTAATATAATATTTATAAGAAAAAATGTGGCTTATTTTAAATGATATGTCATTTCTAAAGAGAGAGGATCTATAAAAAAAAATTATTTTTTTACATCTCTTTATGTCTGTAAAACGATATAACTTGTGTCATTTAGCGTTCGTTTGGATTTATTTTTTCTCCAAAAGCTACTTTTTTAAAAGAAAAAAAAAAGCACTTTTCACTTAAGTTTAAGGTCCGCTTTAAAAAAACAGAAGTTATAAAAAAAGTTAAAAAATTACTTTTTGTAGAAGCTAAAAATTTTAACTTCCAAAAAAAGTTGAAGTCAAAAGTCAAATATTTTTTTCAAAAATTAAATATTTTTATAAAAACATAAATAACTTTAACTTTTATAAAAAATATTTTTAAAATAAGAAAAAGATATAAGCTACTTTTTTTGTGAAGGCGAAACAAACAAGCTCTTAAAATAACACATATTTTTCCTATGTATAATGTATAAAATAGAAGAATCACATTTGTAAAATGCTATCGAGTGATATTTCTAGCTTATGTAACACTAATATTTAATTAAAATTTTGACGTATATCATATTTTTTATATACCTCTTAATACACAACAATAATAAATCTTAATTAAATATTTTATTTAATTACTAACAATTCAGATTTTAAATCTTCATTGGTATCTTGTTAATAAACCAAATTCAATAATGTTTTACATGATTCAAATTTTTAAATTATAATTTATTACATGAATCTTCATTAATATAAAATTCATTAATATCTTATTACTAAATTCAAGTTTTTTTTATTTCTCTCTCTAATATTGTGTAAAAAATAAAACATACGATTCAAAAGTTTGCTCGTGATGTTGTAAAGTGAAGTGCATCAAATATAATTTTTGTATTATGGGATATTATAAATATCGCATAAATTTTTATTTTTATTTTTGAACATTACAGGGAATCGAACCGCACACCTAATACACATTAAACACACCCAACACTACTAGACTATCTCTAGTGGTGCACGCATAAAATTTTCTTCCTCCTCCATACTTCTTCAGAATTTAGTTATGATTACTGTATTTCACAGCTTATTTTTGTAAATTTTTGAGCCCAAATTTGTAAGGAAAATAAATAAAAAATGTTCTAAATCATAATTCATATCATACAACGATATATTCGTATAAAAATTACCACCTACTGTTATTAAAATTGGATTGACACCCAGTCAATTTAATTTCTAAATAATGATAAGGCGTTTGGATTGGTTTTACAAAAGAAAAAATACCTATTCTTTTTAAAAAAATTCAAATGTTAAAATTATTTTTAATTTATTTAAAAAGTACTTTTAAATTAAAAGGTGATACTTTGCCTTTTTTTCAAAAGCCAAAATTCTTGACATCCGAAAAAAAATATTTTTTTATTTTTTTCCTGATTTTTACTTTAAAAAATGTATATTTAAATACACACATCAAATGAAAAACACTTTTATTATAAGGGTTTGATGTTTGTCATTTTAAATGATATAAGTTATGTCATTTTAGGAGAGAGATAGACACATGGAATGAAAATTATGGAAGAGTGAAAGTGGATGATTTTTTTTAATTTAAATTTTAAATAAAAAAATAAAATTATGTGTCTGTCTCTCTCTTTTAAAAAGTTTCTTAGAGAAAAAAAAAACTCATCGGGTCTTAAATGGATTAAACCAACAATTTTATAGATGAGATTCAAACTTATACCTTAACATGTGGATTAAACCAACAATTTTATACATGAGATCCAACAACCCACATTAATCACCAGATCAAGTTATATGTTTGAACCAAACCTATCCAATATCCGGATAAAGTGGATTACCGATTACCGATCCCAAGTTTAATTATATGGGTGTGTTTGGTACAGGAGAAATTTTTTGGTAAGCGGGAATCATGATTAATGGGAATTCAGTAGAAATTGAGTTTACTTGGAATCTTACAAAAGATGTGTTTGGTTCGCCAAAATATTACCGGAAATACTGGGTAAAAATTACTGATTCCATATTTGGTTTAGAACAAAATATGACTTGGAATGCGAGGTTATTTTACAAAAATAGCCCCAAACTATTTTTTCTTTTGTAATTGATAGATTGGGTCTAGATTTTTATGTGTATTGGAGTATTTTTGTCTCAAAATTTATTGTTGTGTTTTCCCTTTACTTGGTATTCTGATTGGTATTTCGAATTACCATATTATTTTTGGTAATCTGAATAGTGACTTTTCTTTATAAATCAAATTACCGGTAATCCTTGGATATCCGGGAATCGTAATTTATTCCTTCTACCAAACGTGTTAATTACATTTACCAAAGAAGAATTACCGTTAATCCTATCTAAAAACTTGAATCAAACACCCCCTCTACTCATATCACTTTGCCAACAACATATCCTGTATTTGAATACCCCTTTTGAAGAGATGTATTAAACTCTGCCCCAATCCCTAGTTAGACGAAACCCATAGATGGCGCCGTGCATCTATAATTACAAATAATAAGTTTGATGTTCTCGCTCTGATTTTATGTCATTGTTTTGGACCTATGCCAGTTGGTGGACATATATGGGCGTGCAATGACAAGATAACAAGTACAGGCAGAGATGATAGAAGTAAAGAAAAGAAAAGAAAAGAGCCACATGTAAAGGAAATAAGGGGCCGATTAGTCACCTCACCTTCCGATCATAAAATCACTTGCTAGAATATTGACATAGTATGCAGGTCAAGTGACATGAGGAATATAACAATATGCTCCACGATTGGATTGTTCAGCACGAAACTCTTCATGCACACCTTTTAATTTCGTTCTTTTTTTTCTTTTTTCTTTTTGGACGTGGGTATAAAGTATTTATTTTATTTTTAAAATTTAAGCATTTGAGATCTGAACCTTACTGCTCAGTTCTAATAGATTGCACAGCAACAGACGTCCGTCAAGAGTCATGAGACAAACGTCATTCGTGAGGGTCTCTTTAGAATCTCACGAAGGTTTTGTCTGTTCAAGTTCCAGACGTGCCGTATCTGTTCAACGGTCATGAATCACTGAGAGATTCTGCCTTGAGGCGATGTTTAGAAGATCAATACGTCTAGCGAGTGCGAGACCATGGTCGAGGATCATCGTTATAGAG